CCTGAAGGAAAAATTGGCGTACGAATCATTCGTTGGTTACCGGCTACCATAGGACTGCATCTCCTCACGATGCTCCACTGTCTTGTGGATCAGATCTTTAGGTCGAAGGCTCCGGGTGTGGCTCCTTAAGAAAACCACAAGGTAGGTTTCTCGATTGATTTATCAATCTTGACTTACATGACTTACGCCTGTTCCACCCAATGGAGCAAAGGCCGCCGACCTCTGGTTAGCGTTTTTCTTAGCGAATTGGTTTTCTACGGGATGGGATCACTAACCACAAGCCCAACCCTCCTCTTTTACCCGGACTTTGGACCGACAGTAGCCCCCGGAGGAGCTACAGGCAGAGCTAGTTATCAATCTGTATTGGTTAAATGATGACCTATTGTTATTCAATCTTTAATATAATCGTCCTTGTTACTGTTTACGTTGTATTACATTGTTATTTATCATCTAGGTGAAGAACTACTCTACGATTATGGTGATCGTGATAAAGAAACTTTACAACTTCATCCATGGTTGAAAACATAAAAAAAAACGAAATTCACCATTTTTTCTTTTCTTTTATTGACCAAAAGCATGTCGGTAAATTCAATAATGATGTTGGTTATTAATTCGTTACTACAATTGTTGTTGTTGTTGTTGCTACCGTTATTGATTATGGTTAAAAGGAATTTAGACATTTTCTTTTGGAAAAATGATTCTTCTCATTGGATTTTCTTCTTGAGATGATTATGTTCTTTCACTGATACTGTTTATGATGGATTTTGTTTCCCAGAAGATTATTGAATACCCTTATTCATAAACGTAAGTGAAAGATTAGCTTTACAAGTGGAGTATCTCTCACCTTCTTGATGGTTTTATTTTTCCAGCTTTATCAGTTTTTCCCCTGAATTCTTTCTTGTTTGCATAGATACTTAAAAATAACAGACGGATTAGAGATGTGATTTCTTTGTCTATTCTTTTGCACGGGTATATAAGTGTGTGTGTGTGTATGTTTTTCTGTGTTCAATTCACTTTTTCCATCTTTTGTTTTTCAGCTTCCTCATAGTTTACTCTTTCAGTTTGTGTATGCCATTTGTATGTCTACTTATTTCCTATTATTAGTAGTATTCTGATTAATGTTTAGTGTTATGTAGGTATTAGTAACTTTGTATTCATAATAATAATTACATCTTTGTATGTATATGTATAAACATGTATATGTAATAATTTGTTTGTTTCCATTTTACTGTATTGAATGTTCAAAACTCTAAATATAACAACATTGGCAAGAATTCATTCGAACTTGTTATGTTTCACGTGGAAAAGTCAGTCAGTCACAACGTAGAACGTCGTACATACGTACATCAGTTCGAGTTGCCATACCACATTAGCACAGAAATGCAGTTGTCGATACAAATCCCATAGTGGTAGAAGTAGTAAGAGTATAAGCAGTAATCGGAAAGATTAGGGTTTGAAGATGTTATTGAAGGATTATAATCCAGTGAAATGAATTTGGAAAGAGAAAAAAGAAAAGGAACATGGAAAATTCAGATTAGAATTTGAGAGAACATAAAGAGTGGATGCACCTTCGCCATTGCAAACGATTTTGAGCCATGTCATTCAAGGTCTCTAACCATCGGTTGTTATCATCTCGCAAATCCCAACCAGGTAGTATACACCGAACAACATTGCTCAGTCCGTTTGTCAGTGACTTCATTGATTTGTGCCACGTTTTGATCTGGCCTTCCCTAGCTTTCTTCCAACCTACTCCTACACCATAAAACATTGCATGTCGGTGGTTGGGCATATGTAACACGTGTCCCAGTCATCTCAACTGATGTGTACGTGGAAAAGTACATATAATAGCTTATAGCTGACTATTATCAGACTAATATTCTAATCATATAAGATTTTCACTAAAAAAATATTTTCAGTAGTATCAGGTATTATTTACCTTAAGTCAGAATTTTTTTCTTCATCCCTAATTTCATATAATTCAAAGATACCATGAAAGAACTTATGAGAAGAAACTAGAGTAGAATAATTCAAATATATGGGACTTAACATATTGAAGAAAGCAATTCATCAACAGTAGATGGATTTTTTTATTATCAGAAAGGGTTTGGTGGAGATTAGAGTATTTGTATAGTCGAAATCATGAGTCAATTGAAGCTAAATCACCATGGAAAACTTGAAAGCACTAGATGACTGTTTCGTCCTACTGTAGGACTCCTAAGCAGTGCTCATCCGCGGTCCCGCCTCGTGAAATTCGAACCCAGTACCTACCAGTCTCGCGCCAGAGCACTCAACCGATAGACCACTGAGCCGGCATCCGATGGTGTTAATGTCTAACTCTTTTCGGCGAATTCATCTTTAATTATGTTTCAAAATGATAAAGATTCTGGTAAACATGGTGGCAGTGAGGTAGGATAAACAAAGGCAATTAAACGTCATTTTTTTCATCAGAGGAACCAATAGGTTTATTGTTAAGGGCTTGGATATACATCGTCGAGATTAATATGGAGATTATCATTGGGAAAGGAAGGCTTAGAATAATAAGATAAAGTGTTGAAATTGAGATTAACTGTTATTAGGAGGATCATGGAAACAGAAGAAAACAAATATTTCTTCAAAGACTGAAGATATAGTCCAGCAAGGGGTACACAATAGATTTTACCACTTGTTGTCTATTGCCTGATTATTTTTAACATCACTGTATTTAAGCAGTACAGTATAATTCCCGTTACTGAGAGTATAGAAATTTCAGTTCTTAATGTATCTTAAGTTGTGTTATGCTTTATATCCACTAGTATAACATGAAGCAGTGGCTCAGCGGTTTACCCGTTCAACCATCAAGTCGAAATTTTAAATATAGATTCAAATACTATAGTTCTGGAAACTAGATAGTGCCACCAGTACTCACATATAGAGCGTGGCTAAGTGGCAAGTACGTAAATGTGAACCTCGTAAACGAAGCCTGAATGTCAGCATAACATATAACTATACTGTCCTTCGATTGCATCTTTATTTGTAACAGATTTTCATATATGTACTAGATTAGCTATAGTTTTCAAATCTTTTCCGGCTTAGTATTCATCTTAGGATATTGTTTCATTGAAATGTTCATTAAGAAGAGATGAAGACGAAAAATACCTGGAAATGGTTTATCCATTTTACTAATGTATCGGATTCAATCACATGAAACCTGACTCATGTATGCAACAGTTCGAATTGTCATAATATATTAGGACAGCGGGATAAACTTATCTAGACAAATGTTAGAGATTCAGAGGTAGTAAAAGTATTAGCATTAGTACAAAACTTTAGGTCGACGCAATATGATTCAAGAATTAAAAAAATGAATTCTGGGAATAATAGTGTGAGGTCATTTTCAAACGCAAAGCATAAGAGAAGACTATGAATGAGTGCATCTTTCCCATTGAGAACCGTCTCGTCCAACCTATCATCTCAATGATCGCCCTGACCATAACCTATTTATCTGAACCTTCTAACATGACGAAGACCAACAAATAATAACTTTATAGACTGATACTACTTTTTAATTTGTTCACCTCTAAATTTCTTCCATTCTGGCCCTATTCCAACAAACATGAATCAAAATAGAATCAACCTATGGATAATATTTCCTGTTTTTTATACAGCCATTTTACTTATACCACAATTGATGCAAGCTTCTGATAGGCATGTGCGCTTTCTGAATTCGTTCTAGTATGTGCATAAGATTCTTGGCTGTTGTTCTCCTTTCTATCCATCTAAGTGTAAACAGGGAAAAGAAGGCTGTTTAATGAGTGACTGTAAGATGGTGGAGAAGATTTGTAGCTTAGGTGAGTGATTTTGATGTGGGTTTGTTCTCTGAGCTGGAAGGTTTGGTCGTGGAGCTTTCATCGTCCTTCTGAACGTCTTTCTTCACTCATATCAATACACGCGGACAACTACGGACATACATTCGACTGGGAAAATGTGCAGATTTTGGACAGAGGCAATTCCAAAAACACCAGAGAATTTTTAGAAGCTTGGCACTCAGGACAATCAGCAATAAACAAACACATCGAAATCAATCCAATTTATCAACCAATCAAGAAAATTATGCAGAAACATAGGAGCAAAAATCAAACCAATAGGAGACACAACCAAAACAAAGAAATAAACAATGACAGATTTAAGGTCAATAAAAACCAATCAACATCGATGTGCACAGGACAAGCTGTGAATCACATGTGGAGAAATTCAAATACTTTGCTCCTACCCAAAGTTTGCGTTAATGATGTCGTTCAGAAGGACGATGAATGCTCCACGACCAAACCATCCAGCTCAGAGGACAAACCCACATCAAAGTCACTGTGAATCATTTTGTACTTATTTTCGGGCACATAATGATTCCCTTTTATCCATGCAAGCTTTTATACATGTTTGTGTGCTAGTCAGTATGTACGTGTTTGCTTATTACTTATCAACCATTGTATAAATCTATATAAGTTCGTACAGTGATTCATGTATTCCATAATGAATGCAGAGATCATTCTTTGTTCATACTCTTCTTCGATCTGTCTATCCATACGAATACCAGTAATATATATGTCCTGAACACTAGTATTTCAACGTTTGGTGCATTGCTTTTAAAAAAGGTGTTAGATCGTAAAAGTTAGTGAGAACCACAGTTACATTATTGTCATTATTTGAAGCCCCGATATAAGTAAAAATGATTTCATCAATCAATTATCCACCAGGTCTCATGAGAATGAATATTCATTATGTCATAGATTTTATATAATCCTCAGTCTTAAGTCAGTAACTGTCGATTTAATAATCGAAATCACGAGTCAATCAAAGCTAGACTATCATGGAAAACCTGGAAGCACTGCTTGACGGCCGTTTCGTCTTATTCTGGGACTCCTCAGCAGTGCGCATGCACTATCCCGCCTCACGAGATTCTAACCCAGTAGCTATTTTCTATGATTTATTTGCTTGTTTGACGACTTTGTTTTAAAACAAAACATTTATATACTTGTTATGATTTATTATTTTCAATAAGATGTACTTTAACAGGAAAATTAATTCAAATCAACAACGCGAGCACGTTTTTCGTAGAATAATATATATTACTTAAAAGTATTATTAGTAGTAAGTATATGTGTCATTTAAATTTTCGTATTTGTCATTTATCATATATAAGTATAATATTTAAAATGTACTATTTTTGACCATCATTTTGAGCAAGTAATCGATATAAATGTTCATCACTTAAACATCCTTGTATAAATTCTTCTTTTGTTAATACACTATCTGAATTAATATCCATTTTAGTGAAAATTGTTTTTGTACGTTCTGCTGGTGTTTTATTATTCTCTTCATCAATATCACCAACCATTAAGTGAATCGCCTGAAAAAGAATTTTTTTCGAGAAATGAGAAATGAAAATGTTAAAAAATTAAATTGACAAATCAAAGATGTTTACTTTTTGAGTAGTGACAGTGTCTCTTGATGAGTCTATCCTTTCAGGTCGTCTAGGATTACTGCAGGTCCCAAGCTTGGATGAGGCAAGAGGATCGAGCATACGGTTAGTAACTCCATCAACCCGCTACAAACAAGCTGGACAGTGATAAGTGATCAAGCACATTGATGGGTTGAGTACAGCAAACTGCAGTTTTCCAAGTTTTATGATTCCTCAAAACTGAACTTTACGTCGGATGGAACTGTTGAGCTAGCTATTCTGCGTAGATGAATTATTCATCTAACTAAGATTATTGTTCATATCTCTATGACTGATCCAATTCGAGTATCTACATATATACAAAATTACGTTTTTTGCCTCTTTTGATGTTCTTTTCACTTCCCATCCCTTATTTAGATTAGGTGTTTACTTACTTACTTACTTACTTACTTACTTACTTACTTACTTACTTACTTAAGTAAGTAAGTAAGTAAGTATACTGCAGTTCATAATAATTATGACGATCAAATCCTAAAAACTGTTTGGGTTTATTAACTAAATTTGCATCACAGTACCTATATATCAGTTTTATAAAATATTTGATTCAGTATTTATTGGTGGATAAATTTCCCTACATTATCTGTCTTCTTTCATTAAGTTAGTACTAACCCATGCGTTGAATTTATGCATTAGTAGGTTACATAGCCTTTCACATCACTTGAATCAGTGATAATATGGTTGGGTTTCTAAAGTACTCATAACTTTCCCCTTCATGTACACTACAAAGGAGATTTATATATATACATAGAATCAATAAATGAAATGAAGGTTTCAAAAGGTAAGAATATTCTTTTACAATAATGAATAGTTTCTTGTATTTTTCTTTATGTTCAGAAATTTTAATAAACCTGATTCTTTGGTGAATAAGTACCTCATACTTGAAACATTCGAACTCCACTGGTCATAGCTCCTCACTAGAACTCCGAGGAGTACATCCTGAAGCTAGTCACTAAGGTGTACATGATAAATATCAGTATAGGGTTGTGGAGATTGTTAGGTTTTTATTCAGATCATGAACTGTTCAGTATTAGACCACTATTGAAAACCTAGAAGCTTTGAATGGCTATTTCATCTTAGTAGTATGGGACAACTCAGATTTGTTATATCGTGTGAGTGCCCTATTAATATATGACGTGACGATTCCCGCCAATCAGCGAGGAGTGAATTATCGATCGGAACAATGATACACAAAAGCCGTACGAGCAGTCTGGAGTACTTATCAGTCCTGCTTTCTGTCTAGCCCAGCCAGTTAAGTCGAGAATATCAATAACAGCCTCTGCAATATGAATTATTATTCTCAAACATATTCGGTTTACATACCAAACAAACTGACCACATCGTACCATAAAATAGAAAATAACATTTGTACAAGATTAAGCTAAATGTGGCAGTGAATAGAGAAAACAGTAAGTAACAGACTAAGGGTAACTCAGGAATGGTAAATCATATAACAACAGTTTATAGTTCAAAATGAAGCTTATAATAAGGGGAACATGAATATGAATAGTTTAGTTACTTAACAATTATGTAATATGAAATATGCATATCATATTTATCCATAAACAGTTCTCAAAGTTACCACTCATAAATCGCTTCGGGATATAACAAGATTAGTATGTATTATTACTAAGGTAAGATTTCATTATTTATCCTATCCCTGATTATCCACCCCACTTTATCTGTTTATTCAAATAACTAAACATAATTTTAAATTCTCTTAGTATTGTTTTTTTGTATCTTCCCATTGATGTTTAGGACTGTAACTGGTCATTCTCTTATTGGCCATATATGCATACTGTGCATATTGCCTCGATATAGTCTTAAATCACAAGCATTATAAGTAAAGAGGATAGTGACTAGCAGTGGAATCCAGTTTGACACGCGTCTCATCCTATTTGGGACTCATCAGATGGATGTACCTGCATCCATCTTTGCTTATAAACTTAATTTTGTTTATTTCTTCTTCTATTAAACAAAAAAAATACTGACATAACCAAATTTCAACTTGATTCCTTTCATGTTACAAAACTACACAGTGTTTTTTCTTGCACCCGATCATATGCACACAACTATGCACAGTGATGGATCAATTTGGCTAAAGGTAACATAAGATTGACGTAATCAGATCAAGTTTGACTTGGGTTCTTCTTCCCTAAATTATACTATTTGTACTTATGGTAAACAATTTCGGTTATTTGTTTATTTAATCTAAAAAAATCATTTACCTTAGATCATAAAACGTCAGAAATTCTATTTGCCATTCTTTGGGATATCAAATTTATATATACATATATCAGAAGGGGTTTTGTGGATATTATAGTTATTTTGATAGTACAGATCATGAATCAATTAAAGGTAGACCACAATGGAAAACCTGGAAGCACTGGACGGCCGTTTCGTCTTTTTTATAAGACTCCTCAGCATTGTGCGTCTACGATTATGTCTTGTGAGATTCGAACCTAGGACCTATCAGTTTCACGCGCGATTATCTTATTATTAAGAATTAGGTCAGTTTTATCTGGGTAGATATATGAATGATATATGATAAAACTATCTTGACTATCTGTTCCTTCCGTTAATATATTTCAACAAGTTACCTGTTTTCTAGTTTGTTTTAACATATCATTATACCTATATGTCTCATAACTTATTCAGGTGTGTTTATGAAAGCTTTATAACATTTCACTGTACAAGTTATAAAAGAGCCCACTCAAAGACATCGTGGTATCTGGTATTATGTATCGTAAAGAATAAACATTATTTCGATGTCAATTCTTGAACTGATAAGTTTTGACTGGCGACCACTCAATATTTATCGTCAGCATCGACGAAGAAGTAAGAAACGGAAACTTGTTGAAATACTTTGTTCTGAGAATTCTATACTGTACCAAAATTATAATATTGAATAAAGCCATTAATAATAATAATAATAATTGTATTTCACTTATGAAAATAACATAAACTACCCATTTGATTAAATTTATTTAATCCTTGGGAGCCTTGTTCGAATTCTTATTTACTAATAACTCATAAACTTGTGATAATCAACAGCGCCTTAAAGAGTCATTATCTTTAACAGTTATCTGTTTACCTATCAGTTTGTTTGTTAACCTCCAGTTATGGAGTTGAAACATTATTATTATTATTCACTTGGTATTGTTCTACTTGAATTTTCACATTGATGTTTAGGACCACAATTCATAAGTCTTGGCATATGTGTATACTGTGCGTATTGCCTTGATATAGCCTTAATTCACAAGCATTATAATAAAAGATGGATAGTGGCTATCAGTGGAATTCAGGATGAGCGTTTCGTCCTATTTGGGACTCGTCAGCTAGATACACCTGCATCCTGGATTCCTGTGCTAGCCAACATCCATCTCTGCTTATAATGTTTGTGACTTAAGGCAAAACCGATGCCACCCGAACAGGATGAACAAATGCCAATATGATACTGATCACATATAGTCCTAAATGTCAATAAGAAGATTCAACCAAACAATAACAATTGAATTTAAACTTCATCTCCTTGCACAAGCAAGTGGCTATCAGGAATCAGTAGCTGAGTAGATAACCCGATGGAGTTCGAGGCTACAGGTAACGGACTTGAGTCCCAGACGACCAGCTTTATCCAACCTACTTTATCCTGGGACTTCCTTTCTAGTTCTTTCTAATTATTGTCCACTTTTCCCATATATGTCTCCATTTCTCGACGTAAAGTGTTCTTTGATCTTCCTCTTTTTCTTTGAGGGCTTGTCTTGTGACGTAGTTGGGTGATTTCCTCAATGTGTGTCCTATCCACTTCCAGCGCTTCTTCCTGATTTCTTCCTCCGCTGGATGTAATCTAGTTTGTCCTCTCCCACAGTAGGTCGTTGCTGTTAGTGACTGGCCAACGGATTCGAATTATTTTGCATAGACAACTGTTAATAAACATTTGTTTCTCCTAGATGACGGCTTTCGTAGTTCTCCACGTCTCCGCTCCATACAATAGAACTGTCTTGACATTTGTGTTTAAAATGCTGATCTTGGTGTTGATTGATAATTGTTTTGAGTTCCAGATATTCTTCAGTTGTAAATTTGCTTCTCTCGCTTTTCCGAATCGCGCCTTCATATCTATATCAGATCCACAGTGCTCATCAATGATTCTGCTCAAATATGTAAAGGTTTCCACATCCTCCAAAGCTCCTCCGTCAAGTGTAGTTCGAATGGTGCATGTTGTATTGTATCGGAGAGTCTTGCTTTTCTCTTTGTGTATGTTGAGACCTACTTCTGCTGAGGCTACTGCTACACTGGTTGTCTTCTCCTGTATTTGTTGTTGCATATGTGATAGAAGAGCCAAATCATTTGTGAAGTTTAGATCATCCAGCTGCATCCTAGCTGCCCACTGAACCCCATGCTTCCTTCCAGATGTTTACGTCGATCACTAGGAGGAAGAGAGAGGTACATCCAGCTGATGATTCCCAAATAGAATGAAACGCGCATCCTGGATTCCACTGTTAGCCATCTTTGCTTATATTATTATTATTAGAAATTCGTATTTTACAATAAATGAAAAACAAAACAAACTAGATTTTATTGACATTTGTTTATTTAATACTACTAACGTTGTCAAATTATCAGTAATCATAAAAAATGTCATTGAACATTTAAAAAAAGAGATTTTTATTCATCGAATCTCCTAAATTTTGATTAAACCACCCTATTAACCGTATTATCTATATTGTTTATTTAAACACATAAATATTGGTACAAGGAAGCACCAGATAAATATGCGCCTCACAAATCTCATTTGATTTGTGTGAGGGCTGTGATACTGCCTGGGTGCCCAAAATGAAGCAGGTGATTTCCTTTGGGAGCCATACCTGGAGTCTTTGACCTAAAGGTCTAGTCCACAAGGCAGTGGAGCATGGTGATGAGATGCAGTCCCATGATAGCCGGTGACAAACGATTGATTCATACGCCATTTATTCCCTCAGGATCCTGGAGCCCATGTGCACCATTGATTTGGAATCAGGCTTTTCCAACTCCCCTAGGTGAACATTCCGTGTCCACCAACCCGTTTAAAGCACCGTATATTCGCTTTTCATCCACTCAATTTCGTAAACAACAGTAATACCGCAAGAAGGCAGTGAGTAGGACTTCCATGTTAGAGGCTATATACGCGTGGCCATGTGAGAGCATTTGGAGAAGGAGAGTGGACTCTCCCCACTCTCGGCCATAAATAGGGCATTTGGGGGCATTTATCTATATAATGTCTATATAATATTTAAATAAATAAGTAGTATTAATAGCTTACTTTAATAATTTGTGTCATTTCATATTCTTCAATTGTTCCATTTCTATCAATATCATATAATTGAAAAGCTAATTCAAGTTTTTCTTCTGGACTACCTGATTGAGTAATACTAATAGCCTAAATATTGAATAGAAAAACAATACAAAGCAGAAGAAAACAAAAAGCAAACGAGATGATTTATAGTATTGATAACAGAATTAATTAATATATAATGAACCTATAGATGTTTATCTTTATATCCTTTATTAAACTGATCTATATTATGCTCTTTTATACTAAAATGTAATCATAAACTCTGAATAGATATTTAATCAAACAAATGATTCTTCTTTTAATGATGTGGTTTCTCAGAGATCCTGTGATACACTTTGAAGAAATCACCCAACTGCGTCACAAGACAAGCCCTCACATGGAATCCTGAAGGCCAAAGGAAAAGAGGAAGACCAAAGAACACATTACGCTGAGAAATGAAGACAGACATGTTGTACTAATGGGGTATGGCAACTTGGACCGATGCATATGTGTGCCTGGTCCTACATTGTAGCTGACTGACTGACAATTCACTTCTACCCGAAGTTTGTGCTGATGATGTCGTTCAGAAGGATGATGAAAGCTCCACGACCAAACCATCGAGCTCAGAGAACAAACCTACATCAAAATCACTCACCTGAGCTACAAATCTTCTTCACCATTAAGTAATATAAATAATGACAAAAATTTTAAGTGATTTTTTTTCAGTTAACCATTAACTCAATTCGTTTGTTAACGCAAATCTTGAACGAAAAGCAATGTGATTGTTGAAACTGTCAATAATCAACATGGGGTATTATATTAGTTGTTGTTTTTTAATGTTAAAAACCAACTATATGCTGAGTAGTGAATACATTCAACAAGTCCATTTTATTATCAGAAGGGGTTTTGTGAAGATTTAGTATTTTCATAGTTGATAGCGTGAGTCAATTAAATCTAGAACACCAGGGAAAACCTGGGAGCATTAGACATAAACACTATCGAATGTCGGCTCAGTGGTCTATCGCTTTAGTGCTCTGGCGCGAGACTGGTAGGTATTGGGTTCGAATCTCGCGAGGCAAGGTCGTGGATGCACACTGCTGAGGAGTCCCACAATAGAACGAAACGGCCGTCAAACAGTGCTTCCAGGTTTTTCCTGATGGTCTAGCTTCAATTGACTCACGTTTTCAACTATGAAAATCCATTTTATAAAAACTGAAGTTTGGGACAATTCATTGTCATTTTTTTGGAATGTTACGTGTTAGTTGTAATGATCTGTTTTTACTGGCTTATGTCTACTTTAAATGTACTGAAATTTTGTAAGGATGTAGATCAATCCTTTATATCCCTAGATATATATATCATTATTGAATTTTCTGTCATTGTACTGAATTTGATGGCGCCCAACAATCTGTGAACATGTTATCATGTTTGTTTGTCTTCTTTCTTTTGATTTGTCTAGTTAAATGTCAACACTTTAAATCAATACAACTTCATTTATACTTGATGGAAAAGTTGTTCCATGTACATATTTGACAACTAGGATTTCAACTTGTTAGGATGGCTCGTTGGCAAACTCAAGGAAGCCTCAAGAAGCCCAGAAAGAGTCAAAGACATTCCATCCAATCACCACTAGGAGAACATTCTAGAATACTGACGTGTAGCTTCCCTATTGGATGAATAAGAAGGACTCCCTATGTGCCTATTGGCTGTTTGAAATAATGATTTACATTCAGCCAGAAAACTATAAATACATGAGATTTTTGTACCATATTTGAAACTGTTTGGGGAATAAAATTCCTGCCTACTAGTCTTCTATCTTCTCTCTTGTGACGTTACAGGTTAGATCGTTCAAGTAGTCTAGTAGTACGCAGCATAGCAAGAATCAACGCTCTAGATAATAACACCACTGAAGAAGGAATTTGTTTCCTAATCACTTTATATACTGAAACTACAAATAGTCGAAAAGTTCATAGGTGATTTATGAGGTTCAATTTAAACAAGTACTCTAAAATCAGCAGTGGGAAGTTCAAAATTTCACTTTCTAGAACAAAGTAAATATCTGTTTGTTCTAGTGAGGTCGGTAGCTAAGTGGATAACGCGATGGCGTTTGAAGCAAAAGGTAATGGGTTCGGATCCCAGAGTGAACATCAACTCTGAGATGCAGGTGAGTTCAGCTGACGAGTCCCAAATAGGACGAAACGCGCGTCAAACTGGATTCCACTACTAGCCACTATCTATCTTTGCTCATAAAGTAAATATCTTAAAGACAATAAATTTCGAAATCTCTAAGAAACGTATGTCTTTTTTTCTTAGCTTTCAATTGTCTTATCTGGTTGTCATTTGATCCGTGGAAGAGAAAATTATGTATTATTCCTTTGGGTTAAATCTATTTGTATTCGTCACTTAATTTGTTGTGGTTGTAAACGGTTAGATTAATCTCAAAAAGGATGTCGGTTCTGGCAAGATTTACGAGTATTATACTACTTGAATATCAACAGAGAATTGAAAATTGATTGATAGATTTATTTTTGAATACTTCATTTATCCAAAACGCCTTTATAGATTCATCACCAAATTAAAGTCTACAAAGGAAGCGGCGGTACTGTCCTAGGACGGAACTCTAAAGATCCCATCAACTTAGAAATAATACAAATCGTTAATGGTAATTTAGTCACATTTAAACCAGGTGCTTACAAGCGTTGAACATACTTTGACTCTAATGCCACCTGATGTTCTGTTAAGAATCCATAGAACTATCGCATTAGTATGGGGGTGCTGAAATTTATGCAACTACAGAATCCACCACTGATTCCAATTACGTGGTTCAATTAGAATTCTATTGCAGAAATTTCCGCCACATTGAGTTAAATAGCTCGCATGGAAACTACAACACAATATGAATTTAAGCCTAAATTCTACAATCAAAAAGAAACAAACATTCCTAATCCATCACTCTTTCACGTTCCTAATCCCCCTTCATAGATTGTATTATTTTTGTTCATTCTCGCAACTTCATCTGTCATTCATTTCAATATAATACTATTCATCACTTTTTAATAGTTGTTTATATAATTCCCTTAATGGGTTGATATCCGTTGAAATCTTGGCACAAGTTCAAAAAAACTTCCTAGCTTTCATCGATTGCTTTTATTTTTAGTATAAGCTAGGTGTCTAAATATCAGTCATGAGGTGGATAAATTATCAGAGAGACCATTGAAACCAATAGTTGGACTAATTCAACATAAAATACCACGAAATTGTTTTCTTCAATCATTGATACTTGCTTTGCTGATATTTTGTAACATTTTCGATCAATGTACATACATGTTTACTGGTTTATTACATTATTTATGGCTGACTAACTAACTGAATTAATCTAATCAGTATACAGATTATGACAATAACAAGAACTTGAAGACAGTTGTTTCAACAAATTAATATCATGATTAAATTGAAGCTAAACTTCATCAGTTTAGATGGCTGGGACACGTGTTACGTATGCACAACCACCGACTGCCCTGACGTGCAATGTTTTATGATGTAGCAGGTTGGAAGAAAGCTAGGGGCGGCCAAACCAAAACATGGCATAAAACTATGAAGTCGCTGACACGTGGACTGAGCCCTGCCGGTAGGTGTAGACTACCTGGCTGGAATGAGCGAGATGATTACAACCGACGGTTAGAGACCTTGAATGACATGGCTCAAAATCTTTTACGATGGTGAAGGTGCATCCACTCTTTGTGTTCTACCAAATTCTAATCTTCTGAATTCTTCATGTCTCTATCTTTCTTCTCTTCTCAAATTTGTTTCACTGGATTATACTCTTTCAATAACATCTTCAAATCCCAATATTTCACATTACTACTTATACTCTTACTACTTCTACCACTATGGGATTTTAATCGACAACTGCATTTCTGTGCTAATGTGGTATGGCAACTGGAACTGATGTACGTACGTACGAAGTTCTACGTTGTGACTGACTGACTGGAACTATCATAGAGAATCTGAAAACACTTGACGTCCTTTTCGTCCTACTGTAAGACTCCTTAGCGGTGCACATCCATCACCCTGCCTCGTGAGATTCAAACACAGGACCTATCAGTCTCGCGCGCGAACTCTTAACCTCTAGACCACTGAACTGGCATCCGATGGTGTTAATGTCCACGAAATTGAGCAACACATCCATCATTGTCTTCAGTGAATCAATATCTCACAAAGAACCCTTTCTGAAATAAATAACAGTTTTTAGAATCGTTATAAATCAATAAATGTCGGACACTTCCTTCAACTATTAGAACCCCTATTTATTTATCAATGAAATATGATTACATCATTACTTACGGTTAAAAATTCATTAAAATCAATACTTCCACTAGCATCTTGATCAAATGTACGAAATAAATGTTCATAGAATAATCTTGCTTTACCATCTGGAAAAAATTGTGTATACATACTAAGAAATGTTGAACGATTCAATAAACCTGAAGGACAATCTTTCTATAAAATAAAGAATAAATTAAAAGAAGTAATAAGTCAATATATAGAGAAAAGAGATTGACAAAACAAAATATTGTGGGACTCTTCAGCAGTGCGCATCCACGATCTCACCTCGCGATATATATATATATATATATGTATATATATAATACAATTTCAAGTTGTGGAGTAAATATCAACTCCAGGATGTAGATCAATCTAGCTGACGAGTCCTTAATAGAACGAAACACGCATCCTGGATTCTACTTCCAGCCACTATCTATCTTTGTTTATAATGCTTGTAACTTAAGGCAATATGCACATATGTCAATAAAAGAGTGATCAATTACAGTCTTAAAACATCAATGAGAAGATACAAGCAAACAATACTAAGCGAATTCAAACTTCACCCCATTGCACAAGCAATTGGCTATCAGAACTCATTAGCTCAGTGAATAGAGCGATGACGTTTGAAGAGAAAAGTACTGGGTTCGAGTCTCAGAGTGAATATCAACTCTGAGATGCAGGTACATCCAGTTGACGAGTCCCAAATAGGACGAAAGACTCGTCCTGGATTCCATTTGTGAATTAAGGCAAGGTCGAGGCAATACGCACAGTATGCACATATGCCAATTAGAGACTGTCCAATTGCACTCCTAAACATCAATGGGAAGATTCAAACAAACAATACCAAGTGAATTTAATTATAAGTATGTTTAGTAATTATTCTGCCTTAACGTATACACAATATTGTACAGGTTCAAACTAACTAAACTTTGAATTAGGCTAGTTAACATATAACTATGGTTATTTTAAATCATGGTAATTCATCTTCATTCATTTATGGTATAGATATATATAAATTTTCAATGCAAACGTCAAGATAGTCATACTGTACGAAGCTGAAAAGTGAAGTTCTACTACAACCATAGTCAAGAAGGTACAAATAGTTGTCTTCGTAAAATACTCAACATTCATTGGTCGGATACCATGAGCAACAGCCTTCTATGAGAGAGAATAAACCATCTTCCAGATGAAGTAGACATTAGGAAAAGACGTTGCAAGTCGATGGGATATACATTAAAGAAATCACCAAACTGCATCACTAGGTAAGCCTTAACTTGGAATCCTGAAGGGAAGTGGAAAAGAGGAAGGCCAAAGAACACATTACGCAGATATGAAAAGTAAGAATAGCGACTGGAAAGAACTGGGAAGGATTGTCGAGGACAGGGTTGGATAAGGAATGCTGGTGGGCGGCCTATTCTCCCCCAAGAGAGGTAACAGACGTAAGTAAGTATATATATACCAATACATTCTCCTTTCTTGTTGCTACTTTATTGCTGGTCGTATCATTTAAGTCATGTGTCTAAAATAGATTATTCCCATTAGTTAGTGTTAACTTCCGAAGTTCATACTGTATTGGGAACTATTATAATCACAATGATTTAGTCAATTTGTGTATAAAATATGTAAATCAATTAGTAGATACCCACTACAAATGGAAATATAATTATGATACTATGGTTTCTAAGGCAGAGTGATAGGGAAATGAACATTTGATTAAGTTACAATCAGAAAATTATCATAGAAAAAAAATACTATTAATGTACAAATTGATTTATCAACTATTCAGTGTTTATATCACTGAAGGGAATAACTGGTTGTCAATTAGTTTATTAGTCACCAAGCTAAGATGACTACCGACATATGATGCTCTGCTTTAGCCCTGTAGTATATATATATATATACCCAGTACCTTTCGCTTCAAACGTCATCGTGTTATTCACTCACCTACTAAGATTCAGGTACATCCAGCTAATGAGTTCCAAATAGAACGAAACGCTCGTCAAACTGGATTCCACTGTAAGCCAATATCCATCTTTGCTTACAATGCCATCAATTATTGTTTCAAACTATTTACAATATTCACTAAATACTTCCTATCTAAAAATTATTTGGCATTGTCTATTACTTACATTTCAATGAAGTATAACCCTTACATAGATACAACAACAGCATCAACATCAAATCTCTAATGTAATGTATACTTTAGTATATATATAATATTGAATGAATGAAATAAATAGGAAAAATGACCTAAACTCATGGATACAACCCATCTATTGAACATTGTACATATACAGATTACATTATTACATCAGCTTCCAATTATTCCCCCCTTATACCCCCATTTGTCCCAACTACAATTAGTTCATTATGTAAATTATAAATAAACCAATAAGGGAATATTTCACTTTGAAAGTAAAACAAAAAAAAGGAGATCACTTAATTGTATCAAATATATATATACATAACTAATGTAATTCCATATGGATATAAATGAACCTTTTTTTCGAAAATCAAAAAGAAAAAAACAACCCAGCATTATCACTACATAGATACCAAACATAGAATTATACCATTTGGTATCCGTAAATGAAGTAATATATATACAGAGTCTAATGTATATGTTGTTATGTTCATTATTATGGATACATGAATGTATAGGTGTGTGTGTGTGTGTGTTTGTACGTGAGACAGAAAAAAAGAAATGGGGAATAGGATGTAGAGAGTTTTATAATGTAATTTTATGGGATAAATCATATGTAGAAATTGTGACCATTTGTTTGAATTGTTAACTAAATAAATATGTCAATATGGTAGATAGATGGATAGATGTGTGGATAGATAGATAGATAGAATGCAGAGAAAAGGAATTAATGATAGAGAGCTCGCACGCGAGACTGATAGGTCCTGGGTTCGAATCTCACGAGGCGGGATCGTGGATGCGCATTGGTGAGGAGTCCCACAATAGGATGAAATGGCCGTCCAGTGCTTTCAGGTTTTCCATGGTGGTCTAGCTTCAATTGACTCATGATTTCAACTAGATAAAGTTACTAAAATCTCCACAAATCCCCCTTTCTGAGAGTTAGAAATGTCAAAAGAAATGTAAGGAAGAGTAGAATTTTGAACCATTGAGCATTCATTGCCGGTTACATGTTATTCTAATTTCACAAAATAATCAACTACACTATAGTCTATACACAATTTGTAATGGAAAATAATTCGTTGAAACAATATATTTTTGACTTCTCAAAAACGAATTGCTATACACTATTCTCCACTAGTGATATATTCAGAACTGAATTTGATTTGTGTCTTTTTTTCTATGATTTCTTTAAATTAATGTATGGTTCTGGGTTCAAATCTCGTTAGGCGATGTCGTGGATGCGTACTGTTGAGGAGTCCCACAATAGGACGTAATGGCCGTCCAGTGCTTCTAGGTTTTCCCTGATGGTGGTCTAGTTTCAATTGACTCATGAATTCAACTATATATAAAAATTGCTACAAGTCTCCACAAACAACCCCAATTAATGAATATGTTTGAATATTTCACGTAGTTATAAGTTAATGAGTGTTATTTAGAACAGAATTCATTCCCTTTGATTTCATTGCTAGCTATTATCCAACAATATGAATTGAATCTAGTCTAATATTATGGATTGATATCATTTTGAGTACCATTGAATAGACTGCAGGTTTATATTTACCTATAATATCCTAATTTCAAGATAAGAACTTCCAAAGTTCTAATGACTAGTTGTAAATAACAAGTTCAATCATGTTAGAAGGAAATCAGTCTTCGTAAGCAAAGATGGATATTGACTAGCAGTGGAATCACGTTTGACGCGCGTTTCGTCCTATTTGGGGCTCATCAGCTGGATGTACCTACATCTCAGAGTTGATGTTCACTCTGGGACTCGAACTCAGTACCTTTCGCTTCAAACGCCATCGCGTTATCTATTCGGCCACGAAACGCACGCTAAACTTGATTCCACTGTTAGCCACTATCCATCTTTGCTTACCATGTTTGTGAATTTAGGCTATATCGAGGCAATAAGCACAGTATGCACATATGCCAATTAGAGACTGACCAATTGCAGTCCTAAACATCAATGGGAAGATTCAAACAGACAATACTAAGTAAATTTAAATCAGTCTTTGTTTATGATGTCACTGAATGGTTATCCAGTAATATATAATGGGCAGTTTACAATGGGATACAGAAAATCATCACATTCTGACTTGATAGTCATGAGGTTCCAAGAAACTTTAAAGTTTGTTCGAACATTATCAGCTTAGATCAATCATACGTCAATCAGATCCTACACTGATAATGAGTGAATTAGTATTAAAGAGGAATCCGTCACTAATATAAGTTTTGATGGGGTTTTGTTTTTTGGACCGAATGATTTAATCATGAGCGAATTTCGCCAAAATGCAGGTACCCACTTGGAAACAACTTTACTCTCTCCATGAATTTCTTCGTCAACAGATTCACAAAACAAATATCATATATTAAGACTAAATTATTCAGTTCAGAGAACGAAACTCTATCAAAATCATCTACTTGTGCTTTATATCCTCTCTATCATCTTTTTCAGTTAATTTTTCATTATGATAATATGAATGTTAGACAAGTAGGCCATTAGATGTTGGTTAAATGTTCTAAAGGTTAATCACTCGCCACGAAGTTTGGAAGGTCTTGATTTCAATACCAGATAAGGTTGTGGATGGGTACTCTTGAGGAACCCAACACAAAGACGAAACAGCCACCCAGTGATTACTATTTTACACTAGTTGTCTATTCAAGGTCATTTCGTAATAAAAACTAGGAAACATAAAGTTTAATTTGAAGTGAGCAATGAAAAAAATGAACTGATTGTCATATGGGAACTTTCATTTTTCCATTTTAGAGGAAAGATACTATATCTCTGAACTATAAAATACTTAAAGTCGATTGAATTGTTTTTGTTTAAGATTGTGGAGATTGTTGAGTTTAGATTGATGTTATGAATGGACCAATATTAAACCATGATTGAAGTTGGTTGAAGTTAAACATTAACACTATTGGATCCAGGTTCAATGGTTTAGAGGTTAAGCGTTCACGCGAGTGGTCGAGGATACTGGGTTCTAGTCCGGCGTACGAAATCGTAAATGAACACTGTTGAGGAGTCATATGCTATGACGAAACGGTCGTCGCTTGCTTGCAGGTTCCCAATAGTGGCCCAACATTGGTCCATTCATGACATCAATCTAATATTTGTTGGTTGATTATAATGCATTTTGATCCAACGAAATTATAATTAGCACTAGTCAAATCATTCATTGTTAAGTATTCCTATTTCTCATTAGTACCTTGAATGAGTACAATGAAATGTCTGATATATAAGTGATTCGCTTTCAAAAATTCGGATATCATAATCAGCAACAGCCCACTGTGGGATAAAAAAACTTCCAACTAAAGAAGAAATTACGAAACGATGTTGGAAGTGGTTGGGACATACATTGAAGAAATCATCAGACTGCATCACGAGGCAGGTGCTAACTTGGAATCCTGAATGGAAACGAAAAATTGGAATATCAAAGAACACAGTGTGTGGAGAATCGGAAGCAGCAATGAAAAGAATGAATGGTGACTGGAAATAACTGTCAAGGATTGTCCATGACAGTTAGATGGAGAATGCTGATGGTCGGTCTATGTTCCTCCATAAGGAGTAGCAGGGGTAAGTAAGTAAGTGAGTAATTAAGTGATTTCCTTTCAAGCAGTTACAAATACATTTTGCAAGTGAATAGAAGTTTCTTATTCATTATTAAGCAGCTAGGTGGTGTGTGCTACTAACGTTGACAGATATAAGTAATATGTATCATCAATCGAAGTTGAAGTATCTGGAGGCAGATGCTCAACAAGATTGAAGGAAAGAGAATGATAACAAAAAATGATTGATGTGGAAACGAAAGAACAATGAAGTCTGAGACAATTGGTTGACATTCGATTGTCCTCACTTATAATCTCGTTCACTACAGCCATACCATATGAGAACGGAAAGGTGAAATTTACAAGATTAACAGAATAAAAGATCTATAACATTGTAATGTCATTTATAATGTGATCTTGGTTCGAAAAGAAGATATAGATGAAGAGATATTTAAACCCAAGATCTAAGAGTAACTGACAAATGAATATATCTGAGTTATTGAAACAGTTTCTGAGTCAAGTTACTTATTTTCTCCAAACACTGGTTATGATTAATCCTGACGATTCTGAGCATATAGTCTGTCTCCGTCAATCAATCTTATTTCAACAGTTATGAATGTAACGTTTTAGTTTGATTGAGTCTAGCTCCATTTCAAATTACTTCTCTCTCAGCGTGCATCATATGTCATGAAAGGAAGTGGCTGAACATACGTAACTCACATTCTAGGTACTACAGTTAAGGATAATCCAGAAACTTTATCATTCAATTTATCATCTTTTCTTATCAGTCTACATTTATCCTCAATAATGCTCACCTAGTTATTCCACGATACACGAGGATTTCTTCGAAAATGTCTATGATCGAACATATTTACTACATATTTACTTTGACAGGCTATTTCAATACAACAGATTAATACAATGTAAACTGATACCGATTACACCCGCTTTTAGTTGACAAAGGAATATTTTTACTGAGATTTTTAAAAATATGCTTTGAAGGTGTTTATCAAAATCTGATGTTAACTGGAATTACTTTTTTTCGGGTTAGCGTTTTTTGGCGAGTTAGTTTTCGACGGGATGAGGTGGCTAACCTTATGCCCAACCCTCCTAATTTATCCGGGCTTGAGACTTGCAGTAGCGACAGAGGGGCTCTAGGAGGAATGGATAGGATACACATGGAGAAAAGCACCCAATTACGTCACAAAACAAGCCCTTACTTGGAATCCTCAAGGCTAAAGAAGAATAAGAAGACCAAAGAGCACATTGCATCAAAAAATGGAGACAGAATGAACAACAATTGAATAGAATTAGAGAGAAAGGCTCAGGACAGAATTAGTTGGAGTATGCTGGTCGGTGGCCTATGCTCCATTAGGGGTAACAGAAGTATTCGTAAAGAAAATATTGAGTTCTTCTGGATCAGTGAATATTAGGAAACAGTGGCAAATAATCTTAGTATATTTCAAGTAAATCAAGACTATCCACAGATATAAACTAAAGTATAGAATAATGAAAAGCTATTCATTCTTACTATACCTAATAAATACGTGAATTCAAGTCATAAAAGCTTTACTTTAATCTTACCGCTCTTATAATACTCTTTATTTATAATATTACAATGGATTCATTTTTATCTTTGTTATAACTTGTGACCCTATGCCCTATTAATAACTTAATAACTTAATGATACCGCTAATTAGAGAACAGTGATTTATTGACCGGATCAATAACTCATAAACCCGTACAAGCAGGATAGAGTATTTATCGGTCTTTCTTCTTGTCTAGCCCTACCTGTTGAGTCAAGAATACCAATCTCAGCTTCCGGGATATGAATCTTTTATTTCAAACATAATGGGTTTATATGGAAAAACAAACAGACCACATCGTAACATAAAACAGAAAACAACATTTGTACAAGATTTAGCCAAAAGTGATTGTGGATATGGGAGACTGTATTTAAGAGACTGAGCATAACTCAAGAATGGTAAATCGTATGATAGTAATCTGTGGGTCTATATACAGCTTTTAATAAGAGGAGCATGAATATGCACTATACAATAAAAGTATATGTATCGTATTGGGCTATAAATAGATTCCAACAATTAGTATTCCTTGTTCTCATCGGGATATAACAATCTTTATTACTTAAAATCTCTCAGAAATTCTTAGGGATTTACACAATTTTAATGTTTATACATGTCCTTCTTATTCATAAATAGTG